TTATTATTGCCATTATTATTGTTGTAAAAATATATGATTGTTACATATAAAGTTTAAAATTGTGCAAGAGAAATGTTATTTACAATTCATACTATCATAAAGAAAAAGAATTGCAGGATGCTGCAATAAATCTAAAAACGAAACGTAAAATATTATTTTACCTGTTAATTTATATAAGAGCCAACAATCCACACCTCCAAACGCCACTTCTTCATTATTCGTAGCTTCTCGAAGACCCGATATATTCTGGAGAGCCCACACTAATTTTAAAGTAACCTATATTAATCAAAACGAAGGAAATTAAAATCCTAAACTATCAATAATAATTGGAAAAAGTTTGAAAAAGTTCTATGAGGTTTTTTGCAAAATTATACTAATAATATTCTAAATTTGATGAAAAATATTATACAACAATTTAATGTGATTGAGATCAAGAACAATCAAGACAAAGCATTTAACCTGCATATTCATAAATTTCACTACGCTGCCAGCCAGAAATCGTTTGTTTCTTGTTAATGTATACAGGATACTCGCTCCCATTCTTAAACCTTTCATCGTTATTGATTGATTCCATTCATCGACTAAAGCGGATGCTCTTTGATCCTTCCATATTATAAACCTGAAATAACAATTATAATCGTGAAATTTTATTCAAATCGAAATGTCTTTATTGAAAACTTTATTGCAACATTTCTTTGTGACTCTCACTTGTGATAGTATTTCCCAGTTTTTTTGTTCCAAGTAATAAAACTAGCACGTTGCGACGAAATTCCAATGCAAGCAATATTCTTCGGGTCGATGCCGCTATCTGCAATCATAAATCAAGCGGAATTTATCTAATTAACGCTAGGAATGAAGTATGAGAAATTTGTAAGATAAAATACAAAACAAACTAAATACATAAAGGATATCAGACGATCGTAGGCAGTGGAATTCAAAGCACCAATGATATCTCTATTTCTTCTTCATATCTATTTTTAAATTTCTCTTTGTGAAAGATGATAAACCAAAGATGACATGGGTAAATATTTGAAATATGAGATATTCGCAGAAGGATACTAGCGTGAATTCTTAGTAGAGGGAAAAGAAAAAGCACTCCGTCATTAGGCCATATCATTATGCAAAGAAACGATTTTGTTTGATCAAATAAGATTTTAATAAAACCTGAAAATATAAATTTAAATAAAATAACGAAATCATATATAATTAGCAAGCATTTATTATTTCTTACTTTCGATGCATCCGATTGGCACTCATCTCGGTTTACGGTGGACATCTCTAGAACAGATCGAAATACAGAAATGAGGTTTATCACACTTTCGATGGATAGCCGAAGATTCAACTCAAGCCGATGCTGCATATTCAGTGCATGAAAATTAATCAGTCGATAATCTTACTCGTGAATAAATTAGCATAAACATTTAAGAATGTCAGCAACATGTTATTTTTTTATAAGTTTTTTTACTTATAACAAATGAAATTATTAGGACCACAGCTCAAATTGAAACTTCACGTGTCTACTGAAAATGTGTGAAACCAAACTTTTCTGTGTTCATCCATTCCAGATTATGGATCGTGGAGTTTGAGAAGATCTGCATGTCTCTCAAAAATAATTAATACATTCTAGATTTTTATATCTCTTTTCACTTATTAATTGGAAGGAAAAACTACAAATGTCTCAGGACAGATACATAATGTAAACTGTATTTATTATTATTCCAAAATAATTGAGAAAAAGTTTATCAAATTGATAAAAACTCTGTGAAAGATATAATGCTATTGGTAACTTACGGTCCAACGTATCCTTGATTACTTTTATTATAATCTGCCATAGATGATCAGGATCTATCTCCACAAAGCCAGGTTCTGGATATATCAGATCTATCTAAATGGGAAAAAAGAGTTTTATTTTTGTTTTATCATTATGTCATATATTTGGTTTAGTCATTAGCTTAATTTAATCACTTTGAAGTTCCAGCTTGATATTTTTATCTACATTTTTCGGAGAAAAATATCAACAAAAATTTTTAATTCAATAACTTAAGTCCTTGGATTTTTATTTGAATACATTATGAATATAAAGGAAAAATTATTGCAAGTAATATGACAGTAATAATAACAAAATAATAAATAAATTATTAGTGATAAAAAGATATGTAACTAATATGTTGATGGAAACAATTTCAATGAGAATTGATTCTATTTTCCTTTAATTTTTATAAATATTTAATATAATTATAATTTTTTATAAATTAAAATATTTATAAACAATTGATAGCAGTTTGGTGACGCCACTTAAGAAATAAGAATTTAAATAAGTGTGGAAGCGACTTTACTGGCAATTCTTTGTTATAAATTACGACGTTTCGGCCAGTAATACTGGTCCTCTTCAGGTAACAATCTTACAAGAGTGTCCGCAATTGTCTGGAGAACAAATGAGTTGGCCGAAACATCGTAATTTATAAAAGAATTGCCAGTAAGGTCGCTTCTACACTTAGTTAAATTAAAACATTTATCACGTGTGAAATAAACGAGATTCTATTCTTAGTGATAACGACCTTTGTATCAATGCATAGGTCGATGTTTAGCATTTATAATGCCATCGAATTATAATATTAACCTTTAGAATGTTGGGAAACCCACTTTTGTGGCTCTGAATAAATCTCGACATTTGCGCAATGTGTTTATGTACTATTTATATAGATAAATTTTTGGGGGGAAAGAACACAACTTTAATGAAAGAATGCTGGCAGATTAATTACATAAGTAAATTACATAGAATTAGTTCTTTTACAAGTGGAAATTACAAATTATATTTCTCTTTTTTTAAATAGTAAATACATTTATTTATATAAATATACTATATAGTATATTTATATAAATATACTATATAGTATATTTATATAAATAACATATGTTAATAGCTACTCGAATAATCATGATTAAAGATTCTGAAGAAATTCAGTGTGTGTGGGTATGTGAAATAGAAAATAGTCTATTCTCAATGGTAATGACTTTCGTATTGTCGATACTTAAATCGATATTTATGAGTGAGTACCGTCTATTGTGAGGTGTTCTAGTATAGTTCTATTTATATACTTCTGACTTTATTAATCTCCACAGATCTAAGGAGCACCTTTACACTGCAGTAATGGCTACATGAATTGTATGACCTTGAAAGCATTCTGGCTTGCCTTTCGCTTCTTTCTGTAACCGCACTGTTGAATAATATTTTCTCGTTTCTCAAGAGAAACTATAATCTGTTTACTTCCAAAAGATTTTTTTTTCGGCGGTGTACATGCATCTTTCATAGATCTGTTTATACTTGGCATAGAATATTATCATGTTTCCCGTGATAATTTCAAGATAAATACCAGGGCGGTGTCGCTTAAAATTACAAAAACAATTTGTTTTGTCCCTGACGGAAACTGAATACCGTAATTACGACGTCGACGTTGACTCGTAAATAACGATCGATAAATAGCAACGTCATTGCACAAGATTCTTTATAAACTTATTTTAAAATATGTCGTTATTGCTCGATAACTTAAAAAGGAAATTTGCTATTCTTTTATCAAGTTACAAGTTACAGATACATATGTAAAACGTCGTATACGCATAACAACACACGAAAACTAAGATAAGAAACATAGAGATAAAAACTATTTCGCGAATTATTGGTAAGCGTAAGATTAAGTATGTCATCGATTTAGTATTAATTTCTATTTATTAACTTTACTTCAGCACGTCATTAAAATAATAAAATATTTTCTTTCGCCAATTTTTCTTAATAATCTGAACTACCATAGTTTACAAAGTATATCATGCAACAGTTGTGAGTAATAATACCAATGATATCAGATATAATAGTGATATCGAAGTTTTTCAGTGATATCTCTTTTTTTATCTTTCTTATCTCTGGAATTCAAAACTTGCTTACATTACTGCAATAAGCTTCAATTTTAGTCATCATACACAATATTTAAATTCCACATTCAAATACAAATTTCAACTCACTATCAACCAAGTTTTTATAGGGAATTAATTGCAACAAACCTTCTCCATGAAAGAAGCTACTGCGACCGCCTTCTCATTCAGGATGTGAAAACGCACCGTAGTGGTACCAACATCGAGTGCCGCGACGTATCTCATGGCAATGCTCTTTTACAGCAAATTCAAAAGTTCCACGTTGATATTTATCCACGTATTCACGCATTCACACTCAACTCGATCGTGATCTTGAACCGTTGGATCGCGGCGTCTTGTACCGACTGGTATCGATCAATATTCGCTGTGTAGCGTTTACCTCGAGCGTTGCATACAATAAGAAGGAGGAGAACGCTATAAAAATCAACGCGCGATGAAAAAAGAATTAATACCTTGACCGGTGTGAACTCGAATCGAGGTACATTAAGATACGTTCACTTATCGTGACTCGACCGCGTTTTTACACATGGCCTGGTAGGAAGTTTTATCGGGACTGCTCGTCGCGTCATATAATGTAGCGATGAACTCCCGGCTCGTTTCTCGCCGGCAGCACGGAACGAGTGGGGTACAAGGCAGATTATCGGAGCGAGTGTACCGCGTCGGGTCTACTTCTTGTCCATTAAGGCTGAAACACACTGCTAAATTCATTCACTCGCCAATGTTTTCCACCACACGAATCTAATCGATGCTCGGACTACCGTAGCGTTCACTATAGTCGCGATCAACGTACCACTAGAAACTCTAGGAAGAAGAAACATTTGGAAACAATCCTTCTGAAAACTTTATTTTCATAAAATTTTGACAATACAACGTAATAATAGTTTTACGTTGAATCACCAATCTGGAATTTGGAAAGCATAATCATCATCATTTAGGCGTGGACGGGCTAAATATTTTATATATGATGTGATCTATCTTTTACCGAAATAACAAAATCTTATTCTAGAATTAATTTCCAATCTAAGAGCAACTCTTACGTCCTTAATGATGTTTAAACAAATACGGGAAACTTGCAAATGAAATGAAATTAAGTCTTCAAGAGAAACATAAGAACCCGTGACATTTTATACAGTGGTAGCTATTGCGCTTTAGAAATAACGTTTACGTGATCAGTTTAATTCATTTGATAACTTAATCTCTCTTTAATTGTCATATATGTCCGACACTCTGCACGAGAGTGCAGAATGACGTCACTCATATGCTTGCTATCTATAATTGGCAAGTTTAGAAAACTTTTTGTGTTGTTGTGTGAACGTAATTGAAGAAATTTTGAAGATTTCATGCATAACATTAGACACTGCAATATTTTACTTAATTCATGCATATGTTTTTTAATAAAGCGCTTTAAATAATATTAAAAAATGTTATCTTTATCATTTTTTGTCATGTGTTACACGTATATAGTGCATTATATGTATATGTATTAAATTCAGTACGTAATATAACGAAGGCATTAGGTTTTACGTTTATCAGACGATAAAATGATGGAATACGTAATTGTTATTACGTAATACCGTAGTATCATGACACTAAGTATTATATAAAAGGAACAACAAACCATGTGACTACGTCACAGCATAAATGTTGGGACGTTACCAAACTCGTCTGAAGTTCTTACGTCAAACGAGTTTTCAAATAATATTTTCAGAACTAAACTTGCATTAAAATCTCTGCAGGTATATTTCTTAATGTAATGTCAACGCAAGGTTTTCATTAGGATTAGTGCGAATAAAATCAGTGCAATAAATTCCGAGATCATAATATGCACTGAAAAATAATCAATAACTTATTATACAAATGTGACATTTTTGTTTTAGTTCAGTTTCAGTTATGCATACCTTTACGATTAAAAAAGTATCTATATACAATGTATTATTTAAAGTATGTATTTTTTAAGTATGCGATATAAGTGAATATTGAGACGCACACACGGGTTACAATTTCTGGTGATGCAGACGCGAGAAAGACCAGTAGTGTAGAAGAGAGGGAAAAAGAAGAGGAAAAGAAAGAAAGAGAAAAAAAGAGAAAGAGAAGAGGGAGAAGGAGGTAGATGGAGAGAGAAAGAAAGTAAGAGTACACACATGCACATCCTCATTCACTAGCGCGCTTACATACATGCTAATTGATAGAACTTTCAAAAGATAAATTTATTATCAAACAGTGAAATGTGCTACTGAACGTGATATATTGTTTCAAAATCAAAACAAAATGGGATCAAAGAATTATATACTTGTTAAGCTTATTATATACAATTTTTTATAATGGATAAAAGAAAACTATTAACTAGGAAAAGAATATCATATTATTCACTAACCAGTATGCTCACCTTTTTATACTTTTATAATTTTGCTAATTCAAATCTTCAACGTCCTAGGAAAGATTGAGAGTATAGGAAAAATAAAATTAATAAAATTTTACTAATCATGTTTGCATAACGCTGAAAATTTTTTAATTAAATCAATATATACACTTATGTGTATACTTATATGTATACCATATAGGTTGTTTATTTATTTATAATATGTTTGAATTCTCATTTTACATATCATTATGCTATATGGATGTGTTCATTTGTATTAGAATAACTACATAAGTCGTGACCGTGGCAAAGAACTGAAAAAAATATATGTATAGTCTCTTACCTATTCTTTTCATTCTCCTTCATGATTATATTAAATAATATAGACTTACATTTTTTTAATATATGAAAATTATATTACAAATAATGTCATTGAGGATAATTAACTCTCTAAACTAAAATAATCTCATCTAAGTAATTAAGGTAAACAAATAAATAATTAACATACCTTGCCAGTAAGAGAATTATTAATTGTGAAGAAACCAGCAGCGGTAAAATTTAACGAATTGAGTATTATTTGCTGTGTAAACTGACGAATCTACGAATAAATTTGCATTCTAATTATATACGTATACAAATACTATATCAATAGATGCATTATTTGTGTTACATACAAAAAGGATACATTGAATTCATAGACAAACTTGCAATTTATATCTTAAATAAATTAACTGCTGTGTATAAATATTAGCAAAATTGTATGTGTTATGGAGAAAGAAATCTAATTTGAGTGATAAAATTATCAATAAAACGTGAATAAATTTACCTCTTCTCGCATATCGTCATTGATAATAGATCCTTCAAAAGATTGTAATATTTCGGCGGTTCTACATGCCTGAAATTAATGCACCATGCAAATCTGACATAAAATTAAAAATAAATTGTACAATGTATTTAATGCACATCATACATTCATATATGAAGCATTAAATTATTATGCATACATATAAGTATTAATAGATGCTGAATATATAAAATTATTTATGTATAATAGTGAATTAGGTAATATTTCTAATATAAATTTAATGTTTAACTCTAAACAATTCAATTTTAAGTATTGTATATGTATAATTATATACATATATTATTTTTGCTTAAAAAATATAATTTTTTTATACCTCAGTCGATACACTCGTACAAAGCCAATTTACGAAAATAATTTTGAATGAAAAAACGCATGCCGCTACTGCCATGCTAATAATCTTTCCGTTACTGACTGTCACTCTTAACTGACCAGAAAATACCCCATATAAACAATAAGTAGTCGACGTTATCATCGTAAAATGAACTGCCGATTCGAATAGAAGTTGCAGACAATAAGTGCAACTAATTTGCTGTCCTATTCTTGTAATTTCCAAATGTAAATGTCTTTAACAGAAAAGTATTAATTAATTAGCAATTATTTAAGTAATATTAAAATTTCTTTAATTATTGGAATGAGTTACAGAATCGGGGACATATTGTATGCATATAAAATTGGGAGGAGAAAGATGGATTTATAAAATATATCTAGGGTAGGGCGGGGCTGAAAAATACGCAGGTAAAAAGATCTACCGTACATAAATTGAAAAATAATAATCCGTTGATATATCAGGTTATGCGGGCAGAGAGGGGTGCGACGAAACAACGCTTGGTTCAGTGGAATTGGGGCGTGAGAAGGAGCTCACGTACGTATGGTGGACCTTTTTACCCGCGTACCTTTCAACTCGGCCCTATGTAATTTTCTCTAAAATATATCTATGTTTATGTAATGTTGCAATCCTTGAGATGTTGCCATAATGATCCTGCGATCTTGGTGTACTCTATAGGAAGGTCTTTTTAATATTTAATCGTTATATCATATTAATAGAAACTTTGTATCAGAAGTAAGAATTATTATTGATTTTACCTTATTGTCTGAATGTGATGCATCATCTTGTCGTTGTTGTCTTTATAGGTTGCCATTGCTAATGCAGTATTATCGTTCTGATTATGAGTCTTGAAAGCATTTGATTCATTTGCACAAAGCACTATGTTGCTGATTACAGTATTTGTCTTCTGAAATTTTATTTGAACACATCTGCCGCATTTCAATCTTAATCAGTACTTAAATACATAATCGAAGACATATTATATGTTTATTTTATCAATTACAAATTTATAATGTAAAGTGATTGACAATTATCTTAGAAATCAAAGAAATTTTAATAATTCTTATTCTTGGGTCAAATTGTAAATTCTAAAATATGTATATCTATGTTTATGAATGGGATGTTGTTTATTATAATATTTCTTTAAGAAATATAATACTTGCCTAATGAACGAAGCAAAGGTAAGATCCACTACACAATTTATAAGAATCGGAAAGCACATGCTTATGCTGCTACAAAAGATAGTCCAGTATCCAATATCCTGATACCATATCCATCCTACATATGTGAGGATTATCAATATCATGCCTACTGTCCACATAGCTATCATACCCAGAACATTGCGGAAGATTTTCTGATTCTCTGCTTTTATGCCCAATGCTTCTAAAGTACTGTCCACTATACTATGCCTTTTAATTGTGTTATTCATAGTCTTCATGTATCGAAATTTATAAATTAATTAGTGAATTTGTTCAATAATATTTATTTAAAGACATGTCATGATGTCAAAATAAATGTAAACACATGCAAATATACGCTTAATAATTCTATATGCAAAAAGAATGGAAAGAAAAGAAAAAAAATTCTTTGTAGTATATATTTGACAATGAGCTAAATATTAATCAACTAGTAAGAATACTCTTAAAAGTCGCCAGCAGTAATTAACAACATCAGTGATTTTTATCGACCGTATCTGGCAATTAAAATTCTTATTGCGAAAAATATTACCCCAACCAGGATTCGAACCTGGTTGGGGTAATATTTTTCGCAATAAGAATTTTAATTGCCAGATACGGTCGATAAAAATCACTGATGTTCTAAATATTAATGTTTCTGCAATTCATTAATGTAGTCTTTCCATAATTTACCACTTCTACGTTAATTTTACGTGAAATGTTATCGTACCTCTGTTTTCCACCAGAACAAAATTATAGTCACCATGGCAACTAAAACGTTGATTCCTAAGACGACATAGAATACCATAAATTCTTGAATAAATTCTTCTTGGAAAATGTAAAATTCCTTGTAAAATAAAGCGAAATATCCAATTAATATTGAGATGGCGTAAAAAACACTTAGAAAATATCGTGGTCGATTTATGGGTATTTCAAATATACCCATACAAAATATACAATTGAGCCATATAATAGGCATAACTGCCTGCTTCAAATTTCTCACATCCGGCATCATCTTAAACCATTCACTGTCAACCTAAATAGGTTAACCTGGTTGATTAACACATATGTATTTATAAATAATGTTACGATGAATATTTGATAAATAAGCTTACGTTACGTTTTTCAATTTTATTTGTAGTTGAATGTGGTTTCTTTGATAAAACGATAAATCATATAAGCAATATAGAGACGGGCACTGAGAGTTGTTTAATTACGAGCGCAAGCACATTGTTATAAAGTGCGGAAAGAAAACGTGTTACACTTGTTCAACGTCTGCAAGAACTAAGTTTACCTTGAACGGGATGCTAGTCCTGCATCTGTATTTTTAATGAACCTTACAGCTAGCGAGCTAACAATTGATAAGCGATCTCGCGTGCTAGGGTGATACATCGCCGCCAGTCTGCGTAGGTCATGCAATTTCACTTATTATACACGTGTTTCACGCCAGTAGTGAGCAACACCTTCAATTATTTGTTTGGTTAACTATAGTTTGCCTGACTTTTCCTCGCTACTGAGAAACACGTTTAACGAGCGGCGATAAATAATTATAATCTATATAGGTTCATCTGTGTCTCGGCATTTTATTATTTCTGATAAAATCTATGATGTACATATTTTGTCCTTGATTTTAATTAAATAGAGTATAAACGTCGCACTTTAATATTATTGTCTGCACTGTGGAACTTCTACTGTACGCATATAAATTCATCTCGGAAAATATAAAGTTACTTCTAAAACAGAGTGAAATATCCAGTCAATATTGAGATAGCGTAGAAAGCACTTAGAAAATATCATGGTTCATTTATGGGTATTGAAAATATACCCATGCAAAATATACAATTGAGCCATATAATAGGCATAACTGCTGTAAGAATAACATGATAATAACATGATAATGAAAAGTGATATAAATTGACTTCGTGCGTTAAGATTGATTTGTAATTTTTATTTTATTATCTAAAAACTATAATAGTGTGCGCTCGCCGAGCCTCTGTGCGTTACTTTCACAAATAATCGTGTCCGCACACTACTGGAGCCGCAGATGAAATTAACACTCGTGGTTTTTCAGTAAACTCAACAATGTTTATTGACGAAAAATCACAGCAATGCAGCGTAAGCGTTAGAGCGGTGTGACAGCTACAAAACAAATCAAGATAATATTTTTCCGATCGATAGGTTCGCTGTTCAGAGATACCGCGTATCTTCTTATTGTTAGTAGGCCACTCAATACGGATCGATCGCAAGGGCTGTCTTCGTGCGGGCGTAATACTATGTTTGTTATTTATGTGTGTAAAAGATATACTTATGTATACGCGTAATTGTATAATATATTTCTGTTTAATTAATTTAAACGGTTAAATATCATGCTAAATTTTATAAGAGAAAGTTATCTGAAGATGCAAGTTTAACTCAAACGTATGTATTTAGAACTCTAACTGCAACTTATTTTACGCATTAAGGATGATATGTATGCATTTTGCTGTAGATACCATTTGAAACTGAATCATTAACGCTTTTATCTTAAATGAGAAACGTTTTACGTTGAAATATTACGTCACTAAACGATATGGTGTGAATGATATGACAGTAATTTAGATAATGAGATTTTTAGAATTGCGTTTTATAGTTAAAACATTGCTTTCTATTTTTCATATAATGTTTTAATTTACTAATTGTTAGAATTTGTATTATAAC